TTTACAAATCTTTGTAAAATAACTATTACTCTAAAAGTGCTTTTTTTGATAAAAGTTTTTGGCTTTTAGTATATTTATTCTTTATTTTAATAATCATTTATGATTAGTTTGATCAAAAGTTATATGAGTAAGTCTTTCTGCTATTATTAGTCTTTTTTTTTTTTTCTCTTTATGTTTGAACTTTCAGTTTAGTAACTCTTTAAGTTTATTTTTTTGAGACATGTAAAAAGTTTATATATTCAGCTCTCTTTTGAGAAGAACTTTGAGAAGTATTTGAAGAAGGTATTATTAGATTTAAAAATTTTTGAAAAACTTTAAGAAAAAAATTAATTTAAAAAAAAAAAATCTAATTAATATATATAAAAGTTAATATTTAAAAAGAATAATTAATCACATAAGCTCAATTAGAGGATTACTCAAAATTGAAGTATTTATATAGAATTTTGAATCTCATAATTCTAAAAATCAACAAATTTTAACCTTATAAAATTTGAAAGAACCTATGTTTGTAAGATTAATTACAGATAAATTATAAACAGCAAACAGATCGCATCTATGAATAGTGAAATATTTGTAAATATTTCTTCTTATAAGATTTTAAAAAAAAGAATTTTTTTGTTAATCACTAGATTAATATAGAAAGGTCTAAAAATTTAATGATTTTCTCTTAGAGTTTGAAAATTAGAAGGGAAGAATTGTTAGTTACAAATCATAATACGTCTTAAATTATCTTTAATCATGTCAAAAATCATAAAAGTAATGTATATTAAATATATAATACATGTATTATTTATATTTATTAAAAAACGTAGTATAGTACTAGTTAATAATTTTATATATATAGACCTGTAAGTTAATCTTGAGTCAATAGAGTTTTTGCTCAGAGATTGAGATAAGTCTTGAGATTTAAACTTATAATTCTACAAGTTAATAAAGTTACTATTTTACACTTTTAACCTTTTTTTTGTCTTTATTATAGGATTGATTATGATAATCTATTACATAAATAAATTGTGATAAAATCATTTTGTTTGTTAATAGTTAATTTCTCTTAGAAAAGGCTTTTGAGATAATTGTGATATTAAGTTTATTAGTTTTGTTAGTTTAGTTTTGAGACAATTTTAGATCTAATACTGATTAAAGAATTTTTGGCTGGTTCTAACCTATACATTATTCTTTTTGAATAATTTTTGTTTAAAACAAATTTTTTTGTTTTTTGTTTGTTTTATTATTTAAGTTAAATGATTTTTTATTTTTCTTAAATGATTTTTATTTTATAATTTAAGTTGAACAAATTCTTATCATTCTTTTTAAACAATTTCCCATCATTTTTAATCATTTAAGTCAAATTATTTTTTATCATTCTAGTTGATTAATTCTTAATTATTCTTTCTTGAATAATTTTTCATCATTCAAAAAGAATGATTTTTATCTTTCTAGTTGTATGATTCATCATTCTAGTTGAATTGTACATCAGTATTCATAAAGAATATTCTTTTATCATTCAATTAGAACGTTTTATATTTATAATATCTTTAATAGACTAAATTTTGTATATTATTAGACTGCAGTTCTTAGATCGCAGATCTTAAGTTTTATAGGACTGCAGTATCAAAACCTGATCCTAGAATCCAATCCTAGGACTCAAGTCCTATAAATCAGGTTTTTTAAAACTGGAAGTTTTAGGATTAGACTAGGACTGAACTGGATTTTAATATCTCTATAATAATGCCCCATTTTAAATTGAGACAATAATTAATTTAAGTATTGCGTTTCCAGTTTCAAATTTGTTTCAATTTTAAATTAGGGCAATAGTTAACTTAGGGCACTTTAAATTAGGGCAATAGTCATCTTAAGGCACCGCATCTCTCAATTTTCAATTTGCTTTAATTTTAAATTGGAGCAGCAAAATCGCATTACCCAAATTTGAAATTTGCATTTGGGGCAGATCTTTAACTTGGGGTACAACACAACGATTAAATCTAATTAAGGCCCGTCCTAAGAAACCATTTTACTTTATACGATTCTTTGTGTAGTTTGGTTATTAGTCAGTCTTATAGATGAGGGACGAAACCCCTTAATAACAGTCGAAACTTAGACGAAACTATATTAAAAATCATAATAAGAGATACGACGAAACCCATTCGATACGACGAAAGCCGAAACTGTCGAAACTATATTAAAAACATAGAAAAGGGTATGACGAAATTATTTTGAGGAGGTTTCGGCAGGCATCTATAGTCAGTCTATATAAAGTTTGAAGGTGTAGCGTGGAATTTTATTAACTCAAGTTTCGGACGTCTCTTCTCAAGACTCGTCAACCTTTTTCTTTGAACAAAGCGGATTTTTGGTGTTTATATACAAAATTTCTAAATAAATATATAAAACATAATAAAAATAACGAATATATGTACTGTTATATGCTACAGAAGCATACTGTTTTTGACTCGTAGATTAATTGGAAGACTTATATAATGAAAATTATTTATTAGAATTCGAAGATTAATTGGATTACGTCGCTCATTTTTTAGAACACAATTTGAACATTCGCTAACGAGGATGTGACTAAAAAGTATGTCGTTCAAAGTACCGAAAGGTTATGGTATTCATAATGGAATATTTATTGTTTATTAACTATTCAAAAACAAAACGTTGCTATAAGAAATTAAATCCGTTTCTAAAAAAAAAAAAAATTAGGCGATATCTTATTGTATTTGAGAATGATGTATCAGAGCCGTGAAGATAAGTACGTATTTCAAATCCTGATAGATTCAATGTAGGAAACCTTATTCTCTTGTAAAACTGCCGAAAGTTCAGATGATTGAATGACCTTTTACAGTATTGATTCAATAGTCGTTAAGTTCAAAACTTAATTTCGACCCATTTGGTTCCGTTATGTTTTTGTTATTGATGATGTTTTAACATCGCATTTCAATATATTATTAGAATTCAATAATTGTTTTAATTCTTTGCAGTAGTTGTACAATCAAATAAGAAAAAGATTAAATAAAAGAATCATTTTTTTCTCATAAATAAATAAATACTTGGGTATCTCTAATTGTAACGAGCCTTTTGAATTGATAAAGATATTCTGGAATCCAGAAAAGATGTACAACTATTTAAATAGGAAGGAATGTCCTGTCTTTTTTGTTGTTGCGGCTTGAATCTAAAGATCATAAATACTCTTGAGGACGAATTTCTGCCTTAGCGTCTCGTGTGATAAAATAAATTGGGAGAAGATATATTCGGCGCTTGTTATATGACGAATCTTAAAAACTTAAATTTCTTTCCTCTGTAAAGATTATGTGCGCGCATAAGGTATTTTGTACTTAATATGACGAAAAATTCTTCATGATAATGTTTTGTGTACCATCACAATTTAATTAAAATTACAGTCTTCACGACAAATTTCTTTTTATCTTGAATAAGACAATACCTTCTGAATCAATGTTTAAAGAAAAGAAGTAAAAATGTCTTTGCCTCAAGAAAGAAATTCTTTCATTAATATATTTGCATTATGGAAATATGGAATGAAGTTAAAGAGAAATTAAGATAAATTCATGCAGAAACATAAACTCCACCACCAGCAAGTTCGAGCCAAAGGCCTGAGCATACAAAACCAAGAATTAATGAGCAAATGAAATCTAATCCACAATATTACAGCTTTCGTTATGTTAGGGTATTTCATTGTGTTTGAAGTTTTTGTTTGATTTGGCCTTGAATAATAATGAGACTTTCGCTTGCCATGGAATTCGTGGAATTTCAAGTGTTAACCCTTTTTGTTTAAATTGAAACCACGGAAGCATCAGTCAGATTTGGAATTTTTTAAGGTAACCTTTTTTGTACATGTACTGAATGAATCGATTTACACAAAATAAGAAATAAGACAAAAAGACAAAACGTTTTTTTCGTGAATTTACAAATAAACAATTACAATTTTTTTTTCAACTAAAATTAATAATTATTAATGGTAATAATGGTAACAATTAAAAAAAAATTAATTTACCTTCAAACTTATGGTCATTTTGTTTTTGTGATCTACTTGCACGTGTTTTATTTTTTTTTTTTTGATTTAATCAAAATATTTTTTTAGTTTAAGCAAGGTCATTTTCATCTCGACTTACATTTTTTAAATTCATTATTTATTTTTATTTTTTTTGCAGCAAGTCAAACATTTATAAAATTGTTGCTCCATTCAATAAAATAAATCTCTTAATACCATATTTTAAATAAATGTACGTCAAGAACAATGTTTGTCATGATCTAAAAATACCCGCATTGTTTAGTTAGAAGTTCTAAATTAGCACTTCCTCTTACTTGAAAAGCCATATCTTGAATCAAAGGTTCACAGATCAATTGTTATACAATAAGTATGGCGTCAAGAACTCCATCAGTACTCTTAATAACGTTAACACCCATTCCTTTGTATGTTCTCCTGTCAAAAAAAAAAAAAAATAATTTCCACTTGACCAAGCAGAAATAACGAATTGTGAAACTCAAATGATTTCGTGATATTTTCGTAATAATTTATATTTTTTTAATCGTACAAGTTCATTTTTAATAAAAAATTAAAACCATACTTTATCACAAATTAATTATTGGGTCAATATATATATATAATTTACTGTAAAATTTCTATATCACATAAGGCGTTACTTATAATATATATCTTGTTCAGGAAAAATTGAAATCATCTCACATGCTTCTGTCATTGTAAACTATTCATTAATTAAATTTTTTTTCTCATGTTTATTTCAAAAATTTTCCTTTTCATGACTTTATTTGAATTAAGTTCATCTTATCAAAGTCATTTATCTATCATATTGTTCCAAATACGGTAAATTTCCTTTTTTGAAAAGCATTAATTTATAAACAAGCGTATCATTTTCGGATTGAATTTTCCTTTTTATTTTTTTTTTTTATTGCCTGAAGAAATCCTATCAAGATTACGCGAATAATTAATATAAAGTTCTTAGATTTATTTGGATTTCCATAAAGAAATGCCAAAGATAAGTAACTCAAAGTTGCAAATTCCTCGCGTAAATCGTCAAGAATGTACCAACAACAAGAATTCTAAGAATTCTCCTGATGATAAGACGGCTTTAGAATTATTATCAGGACTTAAGGCAGAAAGTATACCTCCACCAGATACCGATTTTATTAAACGTGTGTTGGAAAATTCTCGTAGGGCAAAATCCAAAAAAAATGATCCTCCAAGACCTCCAAATGCATTTTTCTTGTTTCGTAACGCGTTGCATTCTCATTTGTCCGCTCTTAATTTAAAAGTACCTCAAGTCAGCGCTGCGGCTGGGGAATTATGGAATAATGCTAGTGAAGAAATGAAAAGCAAATATATTAAATTACAAGAAATTGCAAAATTCTTGCACTTGGAAATGCATCCGGGATATGTGTATCGACCTAGAAAAAATTTTACTCCTTCTCCTTCGAATAACTTGGATGTGGATGAGAAATCTTCTGAAAAGAAACCAACATCAAATAATCCCGCAACCCCTTCTTCACCTGATTCCTTTTCTTCGCTAATTTCTGAGCCACCCTCGCCTACAAAATTCGTTGATTCTGGATTGGTGCAATTATCCACAACTCAATGTAGTAAAATAGAAGTAGAAAACTTACAACTGAGACGTCCTACATTGCCCAAACCCTTGGTTCATTACAACGAAGACCTTTATGTAACTAAAGATAAATCATCACGAGATTTATTTACGTCCGAACATAATGAACCAAGCCAGAAATTGATGGAATTTCATCAAGAATCCACACAACCGCAGCCTACGCGTTTAGTTCGCCATTTACCTCCTGTACAAGATCAAAGCATGAGATATCATGATCTCAACAATAATGTGATTCATAATCAACGACAACATCGATTCGCCACCTCTCAACAGCTCAATCAGATTGACCCCGTTTTGATCACCACGTTAACTTCATTCACAGCATTTCCGGTACCGCATGTGAATTCCGTAACATCCGTAGAAACTTCAAATAATTTCACAATGACGTTTGAAAATCGGGCAATACCAAATTCGCCAAATTTAAATTTTGTGGCTCCACATAATATGATTACTAATGGATTTGATGTAAGGAATAACACTGTGATGCCACAACCGACAATTGTCGCTCCATATCAATATCTACCCGCTAGGTATGGTTTAGTCGGTGACCCAGGTAATGATGTTTTTAGTGATTGGGTTGATTGGGATCATCAATACACCGAAGACACGTTTTAATAAACCCTAAGGAATTTTTACTTTGGAATCCTTTTTTTGATTTGAGGATTTAATAATTGTTATTATAAGCCATGAAATTGAAATATGTATGTCCATTGTATATGAATGTAAAGCAAATAAGGTAACATTTCTACTCAATAAGGCTATGAATAAGTTTGTTTAATTGAGAATCGAATTCTTATTAATAAGATTCTAAGTACCATCCTAAGATGTTTGTTTTTTTCTTATGATAAGTTTCTTTTATTCTGCTTTCTTTATTTTTTGTTACGTTTATAATTTTTCTTCTATTTTCTCTCACCAGTTTAAATAAAGAATTTGATTTGATTTTGTATTTAATTCGGAATCACATTGACCAATCAAATTTTGTTAAAAAAAAAGTTTCGAAATAGGATCGAAAATTACATTTCTATTTTATATGCTAGACTATCCAAGCATTCTTTTAAAATCATGCTATTTTATACAATCGAAATATAAAATAAATTATAAAATACGAAAAATGCGAACAATTCGCAACAATAATATTGACCCGAATGAACAAAACTCTAGATTCGTAATGTTAAATTTTTAGTAATTATTATTAAAAAAAAACATATATATATATAAAACAGTAAATAAACTAAAGGATAACTAATCAACTATATTTTAATAACGGCTTGTGTTACAAGTTGAAAGTTGAAAAAAAAAAAAAAATGAGAACGTATTTTATACATTAGGGTGGCCTGGAATTGTGACGCACGTGCCGCCATACTTGTTTGCTTAGTAATGCTTTTCAATGAAAATCATATAAAAATTACAAATCGTAAATCGTAAATCGTAAACTACTCTTATGTATTTATCTGTACACCAAGCAACTAAGAAACTTGGCGCTGGTTAAAGCAAGGAAAAATTACTGCTAAAACGTCTCCTTTTGGTACTCTCCTTTACAACATGTCTTCCATTTTTCCAGAGCTGACTTCCCAAAATGCCGATAACAATACCACCACCACTACCACCGCCACTACCACTACCACCACCAAAAAAGGGTTCCTCTACACTTGGGTCTCTAGTGTAAAGCAAAAAGAAGACCTCGAATGGTAGAAACAACACCTCATCTCCCGATTTCCAACCTATGAACTCTTCAGTGATATTGGGTCAGAAATCAACTTCAAATGCAAAGGACTGTAAACCCTACTGGAACAATCATGCGAAGGTCTTGTCAGAGAGATTGTGGATTGATTATGCAGATTCACCTACAAATTCCACAAGTAGGGATGGTAACGGTCGGTCGTGGTCGGTCAACGGTCGGTCAAAGGTCGGTCAAAGGCCTTTGACCGACCGACCGGTTAACTGACCGAGTTTAACTGACCGGTTGACCGACCGGTTAATAATAATACAATTGAGCAGTTTTGGATTAATAGAAAGTTTTAATTTAGCTAAATATTATAATTTTGATTCTTGCCTTAACAATACTAGCATGGCATTTTTTTAAAACTACTTTGTCATTTTTATTTAGTGGCGAAACATTATCGCGGACTTTAATTTTTTTTTAAAATTTCAAAAATTTTAATTTATAGGTAATTAAAATAAAATGTTGATTTTATTAAATTTAATACACAAAGTATATTTTACTATTTAAACATTATTATTCAGTCTCAAGTCAATCGGTCAACCAGCCGGTCAAAATCGGTCAGAATCGGTCAGTCAACTGGTCAGTCAGAAGCCTTTGCCCGACCGATATCGGTCACGATTATGGCCGGTCATGACCGTGACCATTAGCATCCCTATCCATAAGCACGTGTTCTCGCTCAACTTTACAAAACTCGTGGTTCCCTTCGACGATTCAACAACCGATAGATATGAGCTGTCCGAAGATATCCTTGCCATCAACGTCTTCATCTGCAGATTGCAAGGAAGAAGAGCAGCCAAACACAGAAGGGAAAGAAAAGAAAAGAAAGAAAGTGTTAACAGTGAGAAAAAGCAAAAGAAGAAAAAAGGACGAAAATGTGAATAGAACATTGAAAGTGAAATTGTACCCGAACCTTGCACAAAAATGTATAATGAAGCGATGGATGGGGCTGTCAAGATTGACCTATAATACAATCATTGACTTTCTGCAGAAAAGACGGTTTTTGATTGTGCATGTAAATAAAAATGGGAATAAATGTAAGAAGATGATGAACTTTCCAAATATAAAATTCCTGAGAAGGATCGCGTATTTAAAATTGAGGAGTATGAAAGCCTATGATGATATGCCGAATAACTTAATTGACGAAACTGTGGATGAAGCCATCAAAAATTTCAATTCAAAAGATAATAAAACCAGGTCGAAGTTCAAGACCAGGAAAGATCTAAAGCACACCATCACCATATGCGCACAAAATTTCTCAAAAAAATATTGGAATAAATTTTACATATCATACCTATTCAAAAATTCTGATTATATGAGAACACCAAGGAAGAAACCATATGATCACCTGGAGGGATCAAGAAATCTAGAAGCTTTGCATTTTGAGACCAAGAGAAAACAACAGTTGGCCATCAGAAAAGAGCAATAATTATTGCAAGCTCACATACTTTAGAAAAACTAATGAATGGATCTTATTGTGAGTATATGAAAGGTAAAAAAAATCAAAAGAAACACACGAGAGGTTTGTGGCTATTGATCCAGGAGTTCGAACTCCATTTGTAATGTACTCACCTACAAAAGGAATCACAGAGGTTGGTAAGAATGATTCACAGAGGTTGATGAGACTTGCTTGCATGCAGTCAAACTAAGTTCGGTAAGGGACAAGCTTAAGAACTCAAGTTCTAAGAGAAAGAAAAGAAGGCTGAGAGAATTGATAAAGCAATCTCAAGAATTTTTAGAAGGATCCGGAACCTGAGGAAAGAATTACACAAGAAAACTATGAATTATCTTGCAAAAAATTATGATGTTGTTATTATACCCGAATTCAATGTTTCAAACATGGTGAGATGAGAAAAGAGAAAAAGCAATTCAAAAATTGTGCAGAGTATGTTAACATGGTCACATTACTCATTCCAACAACGGTTGAAACATAAAGCCGATGAGACTGGTATGAAAATGATCATACAAAATGAAGCCTATACCTCAAAAACATGTTCTGCATGTGGAAACATACAGAATATTGGAGGGAGAAAAGTTTACAAGTGCAAGGGATGTGAAGTGATTATGGACAGGGATGCAAATTGAGCGCGGGAGATATTCCTTCGCGCGTTGCTTAACGGAGCCATATGCATGCATATGTAGGGATTGGTAATTATAGATTATTAATGATGTATTACAATCCATCCGGTATGGCTTATTATAAAATTTAATATTAAAATATAATTATTATTATTTTTTTTTATTGATAAAATATTGTATTTTTATTTAAATATACTTTCTTTGCATTTCTCCATACTTCTATATTCCCATATTTCCATACAGATAAATAATTAACAAATACTACACAAAATTTATAAAACATTAATTTAATTGTATTTTGATAAATATTATAGAAAAAAATCCGTTGTGCTAATATTATTATTCATTTTTGATTATAAAACATCATCTTTTTCTTTATATATAAGACTAAGCAAATCTCTATTGTCAATTTCTGTTCATCGAAATTTGCGGTAGCAAGGAACTTCTAAAATCCTTTATCGTTAATATTCAAAACTATTTGTGATCATGTGCCAAAGACGTGTATGATTTTTAGAAATAGTATTTTTACAATCTGATTTAACAATTTTTATTTAATTCTTTCAAATTACTCTTAACCATACCACATTATCCTATCCCAAATAATTATCACGTGTTTCAATTTTTGTTGAAATGAAATTTTTTCTAGATGTATTTTTTTCAAAATAAATATCAAATTAATTTTATATAAATTTTTTTTTATTTTTTAAATAATCTATATTAAAAAATTTTTTAATTTGATAAACACCAAATTACTTGAATAAAAAAACGATTCGAGAGATATCTAGTTGACACAAAAATAAATGTTCGTGATTTTAGGACTCCAAACTAACGGTCTTTAATAAAACCATTATCTTATTTTGTACGACTATATAGTATTTATTATGACACGCAGTGACAATAACAAGTTATTTTTATTTGATACATTTATGAGATTTCTTTCTAACGAATTGTAAAAGTCACGGGATGGCCGATCATTTTCAGATCGATAAACGCTACATTTTTTTTCACCCGTGATTTTTTGAAATTAGCTGTAATGGTCACGGTCTTGACCGGTGACATACAGTATATCGATCGGTCAAAGACTAGCGGTTGACCGACCGATTTTAACCGACCGTTGTATTTTTGAAAAATTTTTTTTTTTCGCAAATCGATTGGTAAACATAAACCTCGATTTTCTCGAAATCGAATATTCAGACGTAACCCCGGTGCGGGGTCCCCAATTATTGACAGGTTCGAGTTCAAATATGTCCTAAATCCGATATGGTTCAAATTTTCAGAACACTATATTAAACAAACGGTTGATAATGTGTATTGTGAAAAAGTAAACCAAGACAATTTTGGTGATCGTTATATTATTCCAACCGTTGAGACAATTTTGAACATTCTGGAATAAACCACATTTTCGTATTACTAATTATTAATATGGTTATATAAAGTTTAAAGTTTAAAATCAAATATAGTTTTAAGCAACACAGTACTACTGTTAACCTCTCATTCCCGAACAAAAGACCACATTTTTAACGACCCTCAAAGTGCAAATAAAAATCAAGGAGACATATGACGTCTCAACTGACATACAAGGAATCTTCGGAAACAACCAGACACAACCCGCGCAAAAGGCCAAGATCTGCTACGCCAGGCTCAACTTGAAATGCAGGGGGGTTGTTTCCCCTTCTGGAATGAATACACGCAGGAAGAATCGAAGAAGTGGTGGTTACCTGAAAGGTTTGAGTTTAATTATTTATATGCTTTGATTTATTATTTTTTTTTTTATTTTACTAACTTTTCTATTAGGACTGATTGTACCATTTCGGAT